ATATATATATATATATATATATATATATATACCTATATATATATACCTATACTATATTAAAAGCACGAAAGTACTTAACGAGATGTCGTTCGTTTTTTTACCCTTTAAAACTAGCTTTCACGTTAGACAAAATAGTAATTTAATTTATTTTCCTAAATTATAGGAATAGTCATTTAATTATTTTTCTAATATTTAAAAATAATCTCTTAATTATTTTCCTAATACTTAGGACTTTGATCTAGAGAATTATATTATTTAATTGGAGTCCTTCATATAAACTCTATCTAGATATAGGGTATTGAATTCCAAGCACTTCACGAGTATTCTTTTTATATTAGGTTTACGAATATTTTTTTGTTATAAAAGTTTAGGTTTAGTCGTCCTAATTTTCCTTTTCTTGGTTTAGTAGCCCGTATTTTTTTCTTTTTCCCCCAGTTTTAGGAGTCCTTTTTCAAGGTTTACGAGTATTATTTTGTAACTAACAATATAGTCATTTAATTATTATTTTTTTATATTTTCAATTTTGATATCAACTAAATTTTTTGTTATTAAATCATACTTCAGAGAAAGAACAAATATCTAGCGATCACGGACGTAGTAATCTCAAAAGTTCATCGATTCTAATTTTTTTTAAATTCAAGTATCAAACTTAACTAAAAAAATATTTTAATTTTAAGGATTCAATAAAAAGAGAAGTGTTCGTAAGATTCAATAACATTAATAGTTGTACTAACATAATAATCCAAAAATGATGTGTCATAGCAATTTTTTCATTATTCTGAACATAGCATTCTTATTGGATAAAAATTATAATTACGGTTAAATATTTAAGACTTGGGATGAGCTAATAATAAGATTTGAATAAACAAAAATAAATTATTCTCTTTAACATTAAGAATAAATAATTAAGTCCTTAAATTAATCAACCAGAAAATTTTTTGATTTAACTAATCTGCAAATAAAACAAGTCATTTCTTTCGAAATTCATCATATAAATCAGTTATAATATAGTTTTAAGCGTCAAATAGTTAAAAATACAAATGAGATAAAATATTAGAAGATAAAATATATTCTAAGTGAGTAGTCATTAATTATTTATCTTTCTTTTGGTATTCATTTAAACCAATGACAACTCCGGGTATTTTTTTTTAAGTACTAAGTTACTTATTGTAAAATAGTATTAAATTAATGTAGACATTTAAAACTTAGCATTTGATAATTTGATTTACATGTTCTTCATGTACTTCATTGGTTGAAGTTAGACACACGTGCATATATATATATATATATATTGTTGGTAAGTTTGAGATTGGGCATGTACCCAATCTCAAATTTTTAAAAAACTATATAAATATTTATTAAAATTTATGCTTATAAAAAGTACGTATAAATATAATATTTCTTGGGCTTATCTTGTTCATTGCATGTCTTTGAATGTTTCTTGTGCCTAATTAAGTTTTATTCAGTAAATAATGTAGACAATATAAAGAATTTCTACCTTATTTTGTAGTTTAATCTTTTACACTCAGTGGGTAAAATTTAAACTCCTTAGTTAATAAAGTTACGTTAAAATAAATTTGTCCTTGACCTTTGTCAAAGGAATTTTGGGTGGAATTTACTGGACACCAAGTGGACACATCCGGCCATTGTTTAATGGATTCTTAATATTAGATCCATTTTATACAACTAAGACTGCATGAATTCTTGTTCCCAACGTGCAACCTGTACATTATTAAGGTTTTAATATAATTTTCACTCTAAAGGAACTCATTATGTTTGTACATATCTCGATTTCCAACCATTTAAAGTCAAAAAATGAATCGGCCCTCTCTTTATTTATTTTTTTGGTTAAAGGTCCGCATGTCCTCTCATGTGCATAAGAAGACGTCTTGTTTTCCTTTTTTCTTTTTTAAATTGCTCTTAATCCTGACATTAACCCTGAACACCACAAAGTTACCATTCTGTTTGTTTCTTGGAGCCCAATAAAAGATTAATTCCTTTCAGCGCTCGAGAAAATAAAATTTGCTTTGTTGATTTAAATATGATAAATGGACTTTGGGAGAATTGCCCAATACCATATATGCAAACGGGAGCGTGAACAACATAAATGGGGGGCAACATCGATAACAATAATTTGGATTGTCTGACTCTGATACCATGATAAATGGACTTTGAGCCTAACTCAACCCCAAAATCTAGCTTATGAGGTGAGGATTGCCCGAGTCCAACTCAAATCCCACACAACTCAACGAAATAACGCAACGACGCGTGACGGTGTCCCTGATACTACATTTGGTTCCTGCATGTTCTTTCTTGAGTCAATTGTCTTTGCTTAACATTTTCCTGTACAATCTAATATCACTTCAAAAAACTTTTAAGTAAACGCACCAGCGAGGAAGCCATAAATTTCGCGATGGATTGTTACTACCTGTTCTTCTAGTTCTTTTGTTTAACATTTCGTGATTCTCTTTTAATGCAGCCGTGGTGGGAAAAGGATTCTTAGCAAAAGGCATCACCTTTGAAAACTATGCGGGACCAAGCAAGCACCAAGCAGTAACCCTTCGGAGTAGCTCAGACTTATCTGCTTTCTACCAATGCAGCTTTGTTGCATACCAAGACACCCTCTACCTCCATTCCCTTCGTCAATTTTATCGCGAGTGCGACATTTATGGAACAGTCGACTTCATCTTTGGTAACGCAGCCGTAGTTCTCCAGAACTGTAACTTATACGCTCGTAAACCAGACCCAAATCAGAGGAACCTGTTCACTGCCCAAGGAAGAGAAGATCCAAACCAGAATACTGGGATTTCAATCCTGAACTGCAAAGTGGAAGCTGCTGCTGATTTAGTTCCAGTTCAATCATCATTCAAGAATTATCTAGGACGTCCCTGGAAAGAATATTCGAGAACTGTCTTTCTTCAATCGTACATTGGCAGCTTAATAGAACCTGCTGGATGGTTGGAATGGAATGGTAATTTTGCATTGAAGACACTGTACTATGGAGAGTACATGAACAGAGGACCAGGTTCAAATACTAGTGTTAGAGTGAAATGGCCTGGTTATAGAGTCATCAACAGTTCCGCCGAGACCAGTCAATTCACAGTTGGGAATTTCATTCAGGGAGGGGAATGGCTACCAGCCACAGGCTTTCCTTTTTATCTTAATTTAACTTTCTCCTAATAGTTTCTCTTACAATTTTATAGATGCTAGCTTCAAGATTGTTTTCCAGTGAACTGATTAATTCCCCGTTTGAGGAATGTGAAATCAAGTCGATAGCCTGTATTGTTGGGGAAGTTCGTGTCATTTGTTTTACTTATTCACAGGAATAATGATCTGAAATTCTACATATTATTTCGAAAAAGAATTCTCAACTGTTATGAACTCTACTCAAGAGTTGAGCCTGGAGGAGCATGAAGATCAACTTGGGCCTGCTCTAAATTAAGATGCAGTGAAAGAGCTAGTCAACCCGACAAAATATTACTCCCTCTGTCCCCAATTTATTTATTGGAGTTCAGATTTCGAGCATCAAATGAGTTTTTTGAATGGTTAATTATTGTGACTTATATACTTTTTTTATGTTGTAAATTTTATTTTAAAAAACTTTAATTTTTTTTATTTAAATTCATTATCAAAATTAAGAAGTTTGACTCTCGCTTCGTCACATATGAGATAGATGGAGTAGCAGATTTTGAGTGGGAGACTAGTTGAAATTACAAGTAACTTGAAGCTACAAAAGAGAATAGGGATTGTACGCGACAGTAGTCGATGTATTTACGTTATTGTATTCCTGAATACAGTAGTGGAATTCGCCTAAAAAATAGGGAAGTCTAGCTGTGTGAATGTATTCGTTGTATTCACGCTAATGTATTCATGAATACAGTAGCGGAATTAGCCTAAAAATAGGGGAATCCAGTTATTTAATAACGAAAATATGATCAATTAGCGTGTATCACTCCTAATTTAACTCAACAAAATCAATTCTACATAAATTTCGCTGCTACTGGGATGTATTTCATGTATTCGCGCGACTGTATTAATAAGTACAATGAGGTAATTACTGTATTTACGGGGGTTTACGGGTATTCAAAAAAATGCTTTTGAAGAGAATAAGAAATAGTTTTGGAGAAACAGAAAAAAATAATTTATCTCAAGAAGCACCTTTTTGAAAAATACTTTTGAGAAAAAAAATACACTTAGAAGCAATTTTTAAAAGTTTGGTCAAACACTAATTACTGTTCAGAAGTGCTTTTCAAATTAATTAGCCAAACACAAACTGCTTCTCATCAAAAAAATTTTAAAAAAATTCTTTTTAAAATAAGCTGATTTTTGCAGCTTGACCAAACAGGCTATAAGAGTAGATCAAGCAAGTGGGAGGATCATAAAATTACAAAACTGGTTTTTAAGTTTTATTTAATATAACAGATGTTAAGCTACCAATTACTTTACTAATAATTCATATAACTCCATATAGTAAGTTCTTTTGGTATTGTCCACGTATCTGTCTTAAGTCCATCAAAAAGGGGTGAATACGATTATACGAATGATATATAGAGGTTGGAATGATGAGTCCTATATATAGCAGCACACAGCCCATGCCTCTTTAGTTGTTAGAGTTGCGCCCCATGACTGGATTGAGAATGCAGTAAATCCTCTCTAGCTACCATTCTTGTTTCTTTAAATCCTCTCCTAATGGCAGCTTAGAGGAAACGAATAAGGGGGCTTCTCACGACTCTATCAACATTCAATTGGCTCAATCTTCATCTGACTCTTGCTGAGGAGCGCATTCCCATCTTACTTATCATTTTACAACTCAGAAAAGTTTGCAGGATATAAACACATGCAGGAAATTAATATGAAGTAGTATTAGGATAAAGTAGACTTTTAGAAATGAATAGATACATGTGCTTTTTGCATGTGGAAAGAGATGAGAGAGCACATGGCGATATGATGAACCTGATACAAACTTCAGCTCTGGACCATGGCCTAGCTTAGCTTTTTCTGCTGACCAGAATTTGGATTTTTCTCAACCTCTTTGTCCTAGTAGTAATGTTAAAATTTTCACTTCTATCCAGAAATTAATTGAAGTAAGGAACCCCCTCCCCTCCCCTCNTGAGGTTTTATCATTTATTACAGGCACAGAGGCACTTCCCAGTTCTCCACCAATCCACAGCCTTCTTTTCATTCTTAATTACTAGTCGCTTTTGCCTGTCAGTAAGTCTTGACCACTCTTCTCGTTGAGTGTGACCCTTCATCACTTTTCCCAGCTTTACATATTCACACACAAAAGCTAGCTACCAAACAGGACAAAAGAGTTAAAATCAGTATTACATCGATTGGAGAATTCTTAACCAATTTATGTTGATATATTCCAAATCTGATAAACTTAATTACCTTCCCATTTTTGTGGGGCACAAAAACATTAGTACTAGTAATATTATTTGGGGAGTCTATTATGGCTTATATTATTTTGTACTATGTAATTTTTAAATTCATAACTTTTATTTTCAAGAACTTAAAGAACTTACACCGAAAACTAAGTACTTTGGTTCTAAAAATTATTAACAAGCAAAATAATAGGAAAAGGACGCATTTTCTTAAAATTCTTTTCCTTTTGAGCTCAATGAGTCAAAATGGTAAGGGAAGGAACATTCCTTTTTTTGGAGAATAGCTAACAGCAGGAAATGGAAGAGTAACACGAAGAAAATTCTACTACTTATTTCTTTCTTTCTAGACGTATGTAGTACCAAAATGTAAGGAGAAATGCAATGAAAGATGGGGAGTTGTTGGTAGATTGTGCAATGGAGTCTGTCCCAAATCGATTGATACACAGCTTCTTGATTCAAGTGCATTGAGCATGAGAGGCGTGGCATGGGCCTTTTTTGACCACTTTCTTCACTCCAGATTCAAACACCACACCATCCTCATATTCCTCTACTTTATCCGACACAAAACTTCATTCTTCTCTGCAGTATCGTATTTTTCCTCTTCGTNAAACTTCATTCTTCTCTGCAGTATCGTTTTTTTCCTCTTCGTAAATTTAATCTCTACTTCCTAATTTGTTACCCTTGTTCCCAATACATGGCAATGGATAGCTTCGATACCAATAGTCAATAGGCATTTGTAAAAAACAAAATGCAACTTGGTAAGCCTTCTACATTTATAGACCCAATATTCAACCATAATCCTAGTAATTATTCTTTTTTCTTGTCTATAGAAGGGACGGCAATATAATTAATAATTTAGATAAGTGATTACATTGCAATGGAACTCAATAAATTAATCAATAGATACCCCGCCGCTTTATATATTAGAGTTACTCCCATAAAGTAATGATTAGATTAACATAATACAACTTCGACCCACCAACCTCACTTGTATTATAGAATACAACAATTGCTGTTGAGCACGTACAACTATTCAATATAGGTCAGATTTCATCATATCGTTGCTAATTGAGTGAAAAAAATGCCATCATAAACCAGAAGCTAAAATTGACATTGTTTGCCAAATTTGCTCGAAAGTGATTGCAGCCGCTAGCAGACTAGTGCTACCAATTTTTGTAAAGATTGAAATAGACTTCCAACCAATAGTACTAAAAGTGTCTAAAATTGTCAATGGCATTTGACAAGTCATTCTCGCCACTGCTGCTAACCCAACGTCTCATTGTAAATGAATACTCCTTGACAATGTGATCCCGTGAAATCAAATTGTCAAATTTAGCCGTAGCTGTCAAAAAGTTAACAGGCTATAAATGACCCTGTGGCAACGAAGAAGAAGCAAAGCTACTCCTTAATCTGAATAAATAGGCATGTAAATGGAACTCTTAATAACCAACAACAACAACAACATACCCATTATTATCCTACACCGTGGGGTTTAGGGAGGGTAGTGTGTACGCAGAACTTACCTCTACCTTGTGAGAATAAAGATGTTGTTTCCAATAGACTCTCGGCTCATGATAGTATAAGTAACACATTAATGAAAATATAGGAAAGAAAGGACAGTACCAAAAACCATATAAAAGCAGAATAAAACAACAAGAAAATAAGGTGATCAACAATGAAAGAAAATAACCGTTAGTCATAAGAACCTACTATCAACAAAAAGCGAGACTGTGTACCAATACTATTGTTATGAATACTCTACACTACCTACTCAACTACCCTAATTCTCGACTCGTATACCTTCCTATCAAGGGTCATGTCCTCGGTCAGCTGAAGTTGCGCCATGTCTTGCCTAATCACCTCTCCCCACCTCTTCTTTGGCCTACCTCTACCCCTCTGTAGGCCCTCCAATGTCAACATCTCACACCTTTTTACCAGCGCGTCTGTGCTCCTGCTCCTCACATGACCAAACTAGCTAAGCTAAGCCGCGCTTCCCGCATCTTGTCCTCAATAGAGGTCACACCCACATTATCGCGAATAACCTCATTTCTGATCCTATCTAACCTGGTGTGCCCGCACATCCATCTCAACATCCTCATCTCTGCTACCTTCATCTTCTGGACATGAGCAATCTTGACTGACCAACACTCATCCTCATACAACATCGTTGTTCTGACCACCATTCTGTAGAACTTACCCTTAAGTTTCGGTGACACTTTCTTGTCACACAAAACACCGGAAGCAAGTCTACATTTCATCCATCCCGCCCCAATACAGTGTGCTACATCTTCATCAATCTCCACATCCCCCTGAATAATAGACCCGAGGTACTTAAAACTCCCTCTCCTAGGGATGATTTACGAGTCCAGCCTCACCCCTCCTTCCCCTCCTAGAGTCTCGCCACTGAACTTACACTCTAAGTATTTTGTCTTGGTCCTGCTCAACTTGAAACCTTTAGATTTCAGGGTCTGCCTCCATACCTCTAATTGTGTGTTGACATCGTCTCGTGTCTCGTCAATTATTATAATATCATCTACAAATAGCATGCACCACGACACTTCCCCTTGGATGTGGCGCATCAGTATGTCCATCACCAGAGCAAACAAAAACTGGTTGAGTCCCGACCCCTGATGCAACCCCATCATAACTGAAAAATGGTCCGAGTCCCCACCCACCGTCCTCACTCGAGTCTTTACTTGGCAACAGGTACACCTCTAGCCTCCAAACGTCTCCACAAAACCTCCCTCAGAACTTTATCGTACGCCTTTTCTAAGTCGATGAACACCGTATGCAAGACTTTCTTTCTCTCCCTATAATGCTCCATCAATCTCCTAACAAGGTGGATGGCTTCTGTAGTCGAACGCCCCTGCATAAACCCAAATTGGTTCTCGAAAATAGTCACGCTCTTTCTCACCCTTAGCTCTACCACTCTCTCCCAGACTTTCATAATATGGCTAAACAGCTTGATACCCCGATAATTATTACAATTTTGGATATCACCATTGTTTTTGTATACAGGAACCATCGTGCTCAACCTCCACTCTTCAGGCATCTTCTTCAATCTAAAAATGACATTAAATAACTTAGTGAGCCACTCCAAACCTGCCTTGCCCACACTCTTCCAAAACTCAACCGGGATTTCATCCGGCCCGGTCACTTTGTCCCTGCTTATCTTACGCATAGCTCCTCAACTTCATCAACTCTAATCCGCCTACAATACCCGAAGCCACAACGACTCCCGGAGAGTTCCAAATCACCTAATACAATGCTCATGTCCCCCTCTTCGTTCAAGAGACTATGGGAGTAGGTCTGCCATCTCTGACGGATAAGCCCCTCATCCAACAAAACGCAACTCTTAATAACCGTTGAACAAAAATCCAATTTGTTAGTATCATACAAGAGGATTATGTGGGTTAAAAGTTTTGCAATAGGAGTGATCTCATAATCCCATTTAATTTCTTTTGTTTACGGGTTAAAGCTTATTGTTTTACAGAAAGTAAATGGACTCCATTTTAGCTCTATCTAGACAATAAAAGGGGTAATTTAAAAATTATTAAAGAAAATAAGTTGCTCTAAAACACAAGGAAATTTTACTAGTACAATTGTTAAAATAAGTTGCACAATTTTTATTTTCAAAACTGAAAAGTGCTCTCATACTATCAGTTGCAATGATATTATTTATCGTCTAGTAGTTTTAGAAATGACACCAAATTTAAGAAAGAGATTAAAACTGCAGCATTAGTTAAATGAAGACAAAAGAAGTTACTACTACTGCTAAATGCTACTCCCTCCGGTGACTGGCGGATCCAGAATTTTAGGTTCGTGGGTGCTTAATATTTTTGACGTAAAGTACTACCAATCACATTATATAAGTACACAAGCATTTAAAAATGACGATAAAAAAACTCATAATTTTAATATTATGAACGCTGCGAACTTGTAATGGATAAGGCAACTAACGTTTAAAAAAATGGTGGGCTTTACCATTCTAGAATCTAGAGGACCACTTCGTTTTCAAATGAACTTTGGAGTTCTTTTTAAGTAGATTTTCATTTTCTTTCTTTGTTATAGTGAATTAATTGAAGTTACAAAAAAAAAGGTTAAAAAGTTGAAACATAAAGCAAAGAAAAAGAACGAAAAAATAAGTAGTATTGGGTCAAGACAGTGGCTAGTGAAAGAACAAAAAAGTATATCTAATTGAATGGGGCAAAAGAAAGAAGCTTGATAAATAAGGAAAATGCCTCCTAAAAAGGAGCTATTCATTTAGTTAAAATTTTAATATAATACATACACTCTTTGCCAAGTTCACTTAAGCCCCCAAATTTGATATGTACATTCTTCGCTCACTCTATCCGGTCCACAATAAGTGATTTTTTGGGAGATTTCACACAAATTAAAAAATTCATCTTTTAATATTAATTAGCAATAAAATTAATCATTTTAACCCTTACTATCTTTTCACGTAAACACTTCTAACACATATTCGAACATTATTTACTTCAAGAAAAATGTAGGAAAAAATAATTAATTCAACCTTTGAAAGCTGAAAAAGTCACTTATTTTGGAACAAAAAAAAAAAAAAAAAAAAAAAAAAAAAAAAAAAAAAAAAGCTAAAAATGAGTTATTGTTTACGGATGGAGTAATTGGAGTTGCATTGGGGGGTTAATGATTGCGACAGGCTGCATCTTTATTTGTTTTGCCTTATAAATAGAGGGGATACTCGTTTGCGGAATCTGCAGCTTTGCTTGTTGGTTAGTTGGGCAGAGTGTAGTGTGTATACTCTCAGTCCAAATGGCTTTCTTTTACTACCTTTCTTGTTCCAAACTAGCTTTACTTGTTCTGCTCTGCTTCACTACCTCTCTGCTTCATTGCAGTGCCCACTCTGACCACCATGGCCATCATCCTCACTTTGCCTCTTACAATTACAGAGATGCTCTCACCAAATCCATTCTTTTCTTTGAGGGTCAGAGGTCAGGCAAGCTCCCTCCTAACCAGAGAATCACTTGGCGTAGAAACTCTGCTCTTTCAGATGGCTCCGCATTGCATGTATGTCATTAGAATTGCTCCTCTTACTTTCTAGCTGCTAAGTTGTTAAAAAGATGGAGAGCCTTGGCATAACTGGTAAATTTGTCATGTGACGGGTTTGAGCTGTAGAAACAGCTTTTTGCAGAAATGCAGGGTACGGATATGTACAATAGACTCTCATTGTTCGGTTCTTCCCGGAACTTAGTGCACTCGGCTGCTTTTTTAAGTTGTTGAAAGAAATGAAACTTGACATGTCTTTTTCTTGATTTTTGGTGTGAAATTTATGGGAACGTGCAGGTTGATTTGGTTGGGGGATATTATGACGCAGGGGACAATGTGAAGTTTGGGTTCCCAATGGCATTCACTACCACAATGCTATCATGGAGTGTGATTGAATTTGGTGGACTGATGAAAGGAGAACTCCAGAATGCAAGACAAGCCATTCGCTGGGCCACTAACTATCTTCTCAAAGCCACTGCCTATCCAGACACCATATTTGTTCAGGTCATATATGTATTGCCTGCATTCTGTATAATGAATATCTCATGAACTTATAAGAGAACAAAAAAATTCACTTTAAAACGTTGTTAATCGGAAATAGTTTCTCTGTCTCAATAAGGTAGGGGTCCGTAAAGTAGGGGTGTGAGGTGTACTACACACTAACCACCCCAAACCTCTTGTTTACTTTAAAATGTTGTTAATAGGTGGGGGAAGCAGGAAGTGACCATGCTTGCTGGGAGAGACCTGAGGATATGGACACCCCAAGAAGTGTATTCAAGATTGACAAAAACACTCCAGGGACTGAAGTAGCTGCAGAGACCGCTGCTGCTCTTTCTGCTGCTTCTTTAGTCTTCAGAAAAAGCGATCCCACTTACTCCAACCTCCTTGTGAGGAGGGCCATCAGGGTATTAATTGCTAATTACAATTATGACTAAACAGAAACACCACTATTAATTAATTCTGCACATAATTATAGTTCAAATCGAGAGCAAAGCATTACTCTCATATTGGTTTGTAGGTGTTCGAATTTGCGGACAAGTACAGAGGTTCCTATAGCGATGGATTAAAGAATATCGTGTGCCCCTTTTATTGCTCCTATTCAGGATACCAGGTTTTTTCTTTTAATTAAAAAAGACAAATTTACTGCTAGTATATGTCACGATTTAACATGATTTCTTCAAATTAAGCATGATTGTGCTGAGTATTATTAATTAGAGGAGAAACGTTTTTGGCTGTTGTATTAATAAATGAAGGACGAGCTGTTATGGGGTGCTGCTTGGTTACATCGAGCCACGAAGAACTCTTTTTACCTAAATTATATCCAAAGAAACGGGCAAAACCTTGGGGCCGACCAGAGTGATAACACATTTTGTTGGGACAACAAGCATGTTGGAGCAAGGATTCTTCTTTCCAAGGTTCAATATTTATTTTCCTCTGTTGTTTCTCTGGTAATATTGACAACTCTTAATATCTGCCTCAGCCATCACTCATATTTAGAGTTCATTTTCTTTTTTGGGGTTATGATCTTCAGGCATTTCTTGTTCAAAAGCTCCAATCTCTCCATGATTACAAGAGTCACGCAGACAACTACATTTGCTCCGTCGTCCCAGGGACACCCATGTCTCAAGCACAATATACTCCAGGTTGTTCTCCTGTTTTCTTATTCGCCTTTGTTTCTAGCTAGTTCAAATTAAAGAGGGTACATATGCTGGTGGTTTTTATGTAATTTTAGCTTGAATTCTTTTTGTACAGGAGGGCTACTCTTTACTATGAGTGACAGCAACATGCAATATGTGACGTCAACCTCTTTTCTGCTGGTAACCTATGCCAAGTACTTGACCTCTGCTCATCTGGCTGTCAATTGTGGTGGCGTTCTTGTCACGCCAAAAATGCTACGAAATCTTGCCAAAAAGCAGGTAGGTGATTTAAATTACTTAATCAACTCCGTACCATTTTAAAGTATGTGGATTTGGGAGGACTATTGTACTAATAAATTCCTTACCATTGTCCAGGTGGACTATCTGTTGGGAGATAATCCATTAAAAATGTCATATATGGTGGGATATGGGACTAGGTACCCGCAGAGGATTCACCATCGGGGATCGTCTTTGCCATCTATGGTGGTGCACCCAACAAAAATACAATGCTCGTCGGGGTTCAGCATGTATAATTCTCAGAATCCAAACCCAAATATTCTGGTAGGAGCCGTGGTTGGTGGACCGGATCAGCATGATAACTTTCCAGACCAGCGCTCAGATTATGAGCAATCGGAGCCAGCCACTTATATTAATGCCCCGCTGGTTGGATCGCTGGCTTACCTCGCGCACTCGTTCGGCCAGCTCTAGGAGTATCAGCCACAAATCTGTTAGCCATTGGACTACGGACCTGGTTACAGGGATCTCCTAGTATCAGAAGAGTAGAATGAAGTCATTTTAGCCTTCTAGATTATAGCGGCTATTGGCATGGCGTTGGTGATGTGTGACTGTATTGGTAGAGAGAGCCAAAACAGGCTCGAGATTCCAAAAGCCCCACCTCATGTTTATTGTGCACTCGCATGCTATAAACAGCCTAATTAAAGATATTTGTTTGTCCTTTTTATTTTGTTCTTTTGTTGATCCAATTCCAAGATTTTAACTTTGATATATCATGTTTATGCCATGTTGATTTCGTGTGTGCAATGCCGAATCTAATGAACAAGTATCAATTGAGTAGCATCAGACTGCAGTCTTTCTATTTGTTTGGTTTTGGGAACGTTAAAAATGCTCTTATTTCTACTAAAAGCTTAGACAGAAAAAACATTGAGCTGAGTTCCAAGTAAGAGGCAGAGGTGAGGCACAGTGCAATCTTAGTTAATTTTGGAATCACGTTTGGTTGCAGCGCCAACATGGTCTCCCGAATTCCTAACTAAGATCCATATTCTCAATTCCTAAAATGATTTTGTAGTGGATAGCCCTCAAAAGAAATGTATTAGAGAAGTTTATAAACGTGATAGAGATTCTAAACGATAAAAACTAAAGATGACATACGAATTGCAATTGAAGTCCGTGCATCACTTGGCCAGTAGAACTAGAATTTAACCCCACAGCCTCCGCAGGAGCAAGCCATGCATTGCTTTACTCCAAACTATAATCAAGCTCGTACTGACAATATAAGCTCGCTCATAGTGATGATGATAATTGTTTATCCTAAAAATTGAGTAACAATTAAACTTATATTGTGGTTTTAAGGATACGTGATTTAAACCAGAGCCAATTGATAAACAATGAATTAAATAGATAAATTGGACAATAAAATAAATCAAACTGGTCCGCAAATAATGTCTCGACCTCGATTCGAGATAGTCTCGAGGTTAGTTAATAAGAACAGTGGAGGATGGAACAAACAACGATGAACAGTAAGTAAAACAAAGAAAGCAGCGTATATGTATATTCTTATCGGTGAATAATCATTGTCCCCTTTACAAGTGCATGGGATCCCTCTTTATATAATACAGGAATCTTAAATAAGGTACAACTCTAATAACGGAAGTAGATCCCATGATTGGCACTAATAACCGCTTTGATTTGATTTGTTCCGGGATTTTCGCCGGGATCTTTGACCGGTTACTGATATCTCGCCATTCCGTTATTACGCCTTTCTCGAAGTCAGTCATGTTTGATCTCGATTGTTGCTAGCCTCAATCTCAATGAACACTTCGATCTCCAGGCGTGATGTTCTATCTTCGAGCTCGAGCCCGATCTATTATAAGGTTACCCTCGAGGCAACATCCCTGCCAAAGAAATCGGGTATGCCCAATTTCGACCGTATACAGATAGTCCCCTCGTTTTATGGAGTGTAACGAGAAGAAACGAATTTGAGACTTCGATTTAATACCTCGATCAATTATGACGTCAACATCATGACGTAAGCGACAGAAGCGATTGAAGCGTCACGTTTGTGCAGTTCCCAAGGTCATTAATTAACGCCAGTTGATGGTCGGCCACCAGTGCTTTCAAACCGTCAAAGTGACTATTATAAATAGACCACCTTCATAATCTTTTCAAACTTTACTTTCAAACTTCTTCTAATCTTCAAAAGCTCTTCTATTCTCTTCAAGTTCATCAACTTTGTCGGTTTCCGTTTGCCAATCTCTTATTAAAACACAAATTCCGCCCTCTTCTTCCTTAAACCTCATATAGCAATGGAAAAAATATCAAAGACCATTCCTCAAGAAGAAAAGGCCTCCTCATCACGGCCCATCGGTGACAAAACACCGGTGGAGCCACGTATCGAAGAGTGCATCCCCGGGCCATGTGAATTTACTTCCGAATTTAAAGTCGAAAAACCCTCTTCGGTTCCTGGCCGATACGAGCCCATGTCTAGATACATCTGTTCGATATCCGAAGGCGATCTCGAGCAGGTGAAAAAGGACTGTCACTAGGAGAATAAAGAGGTGGTGGTTCCTACCTCCGAGGAGGGCATCGCCACTCATGTGAAAGGGTTCTTAAGTGTGTATACTTACCTTTTCACACTGGATTCCATCGATCCTGTCATAATCGACTTCTACAGCCAATACCGGGTAACCTTAGGCCAGATCTACCCCTCTTTTTGGCGCATTGTCATTTTGCTCAGATTCTTCTCGAGCAAGGTCGAGGGGATGTCTTTCACCCTCGATCATCTCATTAGGCTATACAACCCTCGTCTTTATCGGGGCGGACTGATAAGGCTTCAACGTGGGGCCACGAAGGTGCTGTTCTCGAGCATAGACGAGGACAAGGACCGAGCCCATCTCATTAGGCTGTTCTCGACTTAATCCCCACCGAGAAGTTGCCATTCCCCGAAGAATGGAACATGAAGGGTAAGTAGAACCTCACCGATAATGTTTGTCTACTTGTTATGTTTCCTTTTCCTCTTCTCATCTATATTCTTCTTTATGGTGCAGCTTCCCCCTGGTTTCATGGTACAGTCCCGGACCTTGCAGGTTGGGTTCGACAACTAGTTTCAACCTCTTCGTATGATGAGCGCTCGTGGCGCGATTTGGCCAAGGGTCAATGGGAGGCCAAAAAGCATGGTAAGTTCCCATGTCTGTGTTTGATGCTTTCCTGTGAAATACTTCTTTTTAACTTGATTTCTTCTCATATGGGTCTTGGAGATAATGTCGTCATGAGGCCGCCTCCCCCCGGGGGAGAGGAGGTCCCGAAGCCGACCAAAGACAAGAAAAGGAGAAGGGCCTCGCCACCAGATACCCCAAAGCCCAGGAAAAGCAGGGCTCGAAAGTCGAAGATTGATCCCGCCGTTCTGTCTGCTGATGTAGCCCAAACGTTACGAGATGAAGACAGATGTCGACTGCTTGCTGATGGCTCGGAAGAGGGTAGGCATCGAAGTTTTGAGAACTGCTGAGCTGGTGACGGTCGAGGAGGTTCAGCCGTAGACCAAGGTGATCTCGGAGGAAGGTCCGAGCAGAATCCCCTAGTCATCGGATGTTGAAGATGCCTCTTGCCGTGATGAACCGGTGGGTGTGCTCGAAGGGTCTAGTTTTGAGGCCCTTCAAAGAGAAGAGAATATCCCAAGTGATTCGCTTGGGGCAATTAACATTGATGATTCGTCGCCCGGCCCCACGTTCTCTGAGGGACAGTTTCGGGATGCCCGGTCCATGGGGACACCCGTATGTGGGGATGGCCCCCAAAGGGGATGATATATTTTGTGGCTGCTTCGTGGGGGTCGATGATGTTTCTGACCTGGACGCATCACTCATTTTTTATGAGGCTCAGCGACTTCTGAACCAAGTGACTTTTGATATTACCATGCTTGCCTTTGTTCTTATTTCTCTACGTCTGATTTTCTTTCTTTCTGCACAGGCTACGATGCTCCATTGAGAAGCATCCTCCAAATACCGGGCTGAGCTAGCCCGATGTGAGGCTGATCTCAAAAAGCTTACGGAGGAGAGAGACACCCTCAAACTCCTCTATGTGCAAAAAGAAGAGGAGATCATGAGTATTTGAGCCGAGCTGACAAGAGCTCATCAAGATCAGACCGAGCTCATTGAACGGGTAATGTAAATTTTTGGGAGATTGTTATGTATTAACTTGATATTGGCGACTAACACTTTGATTATGCAGGTTCAGCAGAAGGCCGAATTGGTTGAGCAGCTTTGTGAGGAGGCAAAGATGAAAGAGGTAGAGACTTTGGGGTGGAAGCAGAACATGGACCGTCTCACCTTGGAGAAAGATGCAATTCAGACCCAACTGTCTTCGGTTGAGCGTAAATTCCAAAGTGTGAAGAAGGAGAACTTGGACTGAGCGCAGAAGGTTGAAAAGCTCGAGACTCGGTTGGACGCTGAGCTTGCAAGGGCCACATCCGAGGCAGAGGCGCCCGTGGCCTCCTACCGAGCCGACGCTGAAGCCGCTAGCACTCGGGCAAAGAAAATTTCTGATGCTGCTGAGGTTAGATTGTCCCGTGTTGCCGAGCATGCTAGGCGTCAGTCTCGAAGAGAGACTCTTGAGGAGATACATGCTCGTGGCTTCGACCTCACGGCCGATATCGAGAGTGAGAAGGTTTTGAAGGACGAGGCCGGAGCTTTGCTTTCCGATGATGAAGACTCTGCGAGTGGATCCGAGAATGGAGGAGATGAAGATGAAGCTCCCGAAGATGCGGCTCCCAAGGCGGACTAGGCACTTAGGAAATAATTTGTGTATGACCATGTGTAAGACCCTGTGTGGTATTTGTAAATACTTTGCATATATGAAAGATTCCTTTTCTTTCCGTTTCATCTCCGATTTCTAATTTATGATAAATTCTGTTTTGCCTTTGCCTTGTGAAAACTTTGTTGCAATCGTGTTGTTGTAGCCTCTATAATCGAGTGAGCAATAGCTCGAACTCAAAGTAGAACAAACTCTTAGGTTTTTTAGTCAAGCGAGGGCGAGTCTCCGAGCTCAACAATATGTTCGGGATTTTGATTTCGGATGGCTAGATCGAAGCCGTAATCGTACTGTTTTTATAGCCGAGTTCGAGTAAATTTCGAACTCACAGTAACAGAGCCCTTAAGGTTGTATATCAAATAATGATGAATCCTCGAGCTATATTCAAGTCAGTTTTGTTTGAGCTCGGAATGGTGGAACCCTTAGGTCCGAATTGAGTGAGAACAAAATCTCGAACTTTAAGTGTATTGGCCCTTAGGCTCTTTAGATTGGGCCGATATGGCCTCTAAAAGATGGCTATTTTTTCCCTTTTTCGGCTTAGAAAACTTAGTAAAAAATTTCTTTATGCCTTAACACGTATTCTTTACCCATTGGGTTTTTTTAGGGTTCGATGTCGATTGAAACCCCTTTGCTTTTTGTGCCTTAGCACATTTGTGTTAAGAAAATTCGATACCTCAAGGTTTTTCTAGAGCTGATTTCATCGAAGCCCTTTTGATTACTTGCCGAGGGTAGCCTTTTTTAACCGGTTTTCCAAAGAATTCGAAGGTCTATTTTTATTGCGGGATTCAGACGTCTCCGAGCCGCCTTAATTTGGTCGTAGACTTTGGGTATGCCTCTTGGGCTTATTTCCCAATAATACTTCAAACTTGTTCGAAGCGTTAGTCCCCGAGAGTGATGTTCTTGGCCTATAGATTGAAGGGTGCCTCTTTGAGGTCTTATGAATTTGAGTTTAGATTACTCGAATA